GTGTTTGAAATGGGAGATGGTGAGAGAGATACACGTTACCCTGGGAAATAAATGCTACAGATATTAGCTTCCGTAAAAGTAAAAAAACGTAAAAGTATACAAACTTTTAACTATTTGTTTCATATTCAATGACAAATTAAGGTGTTTCTTATCAATGTAATATTTTCTGACATTGGGTAGTGAGTCAATCTAATATATAACACAGTCTGAGGCTTCGTAACTGTCCCTTTTATCTGCATTAAGGTCTAGTGTCATGTGATAGTGGCCGTCAGCTGGTGGGATACCCTGTACAGATTCTGAGTTTGTTGACATCGGACGCAACATATATTTATCTACGTTCCGAAGTAATTCAACGTGTTAACGAGTAGGAATATCTGTTAATGTTTAAGTATTTACAGTAAGGACTCTCTAAACAAAAAGAAAAAAACCCTAAAAAAATGTGAATAAATCCTTCACTTATGAGGGAGTATCACACCCACACATTTTACCATAGTTACCCCGAGACGTTTTCTCTGATAGCACGTATCAAAGAAACGTATTTTCTTCACAAACACGAAATGGGAAGCGGTATGAATTGCACTTTGGGAAACAAATTTTGAACTACAGAACAATCAAGGTTATTATTCATATTCACCCACTTCACATCGCTCACGCTGTATGAAGTTTGAAATGAGAGTTTGAGAAATTGTCGTGTTGGCGCTCTGATTGACGTTAAAGTTTTATGGAAAAAGTGAACTGTGTAATAGTATGCCCTATTCACCAGCAGTCCAAGCGGAGTATAGTATTTCGGCGAAAATAAATGTTGCCAGTCGTATTTGTGTCTGACTGTATGTTTGTATGACTGCTTGTATGTTCGTGTATGAGTATTTGTTTTTTCTACGAGAGAGAGAGAGAGAGATATTGCTCGTACGTACATATCAATATATATATATCAATCCATATTCTACGTATGTGTGCATCTGCGTTCAGTGTGTATATGTATTTGTGTATGTGTGCTCCTCAAGTAATACAAACTCAAATACTATTTACCCTACAACAAAACAAAACTACAAAGAATATAAATAAATAACTAAATCCCAGATACGCCCTAACAAAACAAAAACCAACAACAAAAGGCTTCACATTTCAGTAACTTGGCTCCCGGACTGAGTGAAAAATTTAAGAGAGCGAATGACAAGGGAGGACTCTGCCAATATACCACGGTGCATCAAAGCCCCTCCCTCTACATGAACGTTGGTCTCTCACAGTGCGGCCGATATCAATACCTTGCCACTGGGATTATATAACATTAATTCTTCCATTGTCTCTACTGCAGCGAAATAGACTTGTGAGATTCGTAATTCTGAATTTTTCAAAGACTCGCGATTTTTTATTCTGTTTTTGGTAATGGACTTATTAACTTGATACTGAAACTTAATCTAACATTATCTAACCAAATTTAACCTAATTTAACCTAACCTAGCTTTTAGATTCTTACAAACACCTCAATATAATCAGAAAAAAAGAATCCTTCACTCCAAACTGCAATAATTTCCCCCTAAACTTTTTAACCAATGACAACAGCTTCTTGAACCCAAACGATCTGGTCTCGCCAACAACCATCACTACACAAGTTAAGAATAAAAAGCCTTCTTGATTCTTTGTTTACTCAGAAATCAATCTTTGGTCCCTTCAATAATGTTCCTTCCTCTTTTCTCCCCCTACCCCAGTACCTACTCTAAAATAATCTTCCTCCCCAGTACCTACTCCAAAACAATCTTCCTCCCCAGTACCTCCTCTAAAACAATCTTCCTCCCCAATACCTCCTCTAAAACAATCTTCCTCCCCAGTAAACAATCTTCCTCCCCAGTACCTCCTCTAAAACAATCTTCCTCCCCAGTACCTCCTCTAAAACAATCTTCCTCCCAGTACCTCCTCTAAAACAATCTTCCTCCCCAGTACCTCCTCTAAAACAATCTTCCTCCCCAATACCTCCTCTAAAACAATCTTCCTCCCCAGTACCTCCTCCAAAACAATCTTCCTCCCCAGTACCTACTCTAAAACAATCTTCCTCCCCAGTACCTCCTCTAAAACAATCTTCCTCCCCTTTCCCACCTTTCTTATTTCTCGAATAGGGTGTGATGGCTGAGTGGATATAGCGTTCGATTCTTGTCTTAATGGTCACTGGTTCGAGCCTGGATGCTTCCCCTCACTCTATCCAGGCGTGAATGTGTGGTTAACCTTACAATTGGAGAAGCGAAGGGAGTTGTGTGTTGCATCCTTGCCTAACATAAAAGAAAAGTTTAGTGTGCAGTGTGCTGTATCCACACTGCCTCTAACAAACCGTCTGGGTAATAGGGCCTCTTTTTCGAAACTAACAGACATTCAGCCCAGTTATATAGGTTAAATGTCCAGTTATAGAGGTTTAATGTCCAGTTATAGAGGTTAAATGTCCAGTTATATAGGTTAAATGTCCAGTTATAGAGGTTAAATGTCCAGTTATAGAGGTTAAATGCCCAGTTATAGAGGTTAAATGTCCAGTTATATAGGTTAAATGTCCAGTTATAGAGGTTAAATGTCCAGTTATAGAGGTTAAATGCCCAGTTATAGAGTTTAAATGCTCAGTCTTCTAAAATCCAGGACGTCCCCTAAGCATGCAGCAATATGCTCTATATAACAAAACTATAAGATTGATTTTGACTTTCCGCTGTTTTTCATGACTTTATAATCGTAATACAAAGAACAAAACAACATATCCGTTTTTAATTAGTATTAAATTTGTGTCTTTTACTTTCAAAACTAAGAGAAGGGGCTACACAAATTGTTTATACCCAGGGATTCAGAAGGTTTTGACTCCGCACTGAAAGAATCCCACTAACAAGACCGAGCCAGCTATTTTATTTTCAGGAGATACGAACCCACAGAATTTTTAGGAGATACGAACCCACGGAATTTAGATGGTTTGTTTTCATATTAAATGTACAGTGCCTTAAAAATAAGGTCTTTCAGTGCATATTCAAGATCAATAAATACACTATTCACTAACAATTGTTTACCATTGTTTATATAGTATATAAATTAAGATATTACTTGATAATCATCTATCTATCTATCTATCTATCTATCTATCTATGTTTTCGGGTCTAGTTCGTGTTATTTTGCTAGCATAAGCTCGCTCGTGCTGTTTACCCAAGTTATCCCTCTATACTAACCTAAGTTTAACGTTTTCTATGATTCAGTTTATTTTATCGAATACCAGGCAAAATATTTCCTCCCTCCTCCTAGCTTTACACTGTGCTGGGTCAGACCCTGTGTGAGGCGAGGCTAGCATGGATGTTTATATACCTAAATTGACTATTAATATTTAAGTTTCTGATAGGCTATATGTATTAAAAGATCCATTTAATCATTAAAATCGCCATAAAAGTTCAGATTGGTTGAGCGTAGAGGCGTAGATGTTCAGTCAGTGGTAAATGGTGAAGTAGATTCAACATATGACAGTCTAAAGGATTATGACTCTAAGTTAATGGCAGAATCACATGACGCCAAACTACGGCTCATTCCCTGGAAAATAATCTGTAAAAGAGATACTAAATCTTCTTCAAATAGACTGAGTTGTTATATATAGCAGAGTGAACAATGGAGAATAAATCTGGTTGATGATTGGTACAATAGTGGTTAGTTTTGAGTTGGTAAATGATGTGTTGGGATAAATGTCTTTTGTTTATAAGTGTTTCCTTGTGCCTACCGTTACTATGAGAGTCAGGTGGTTTGTTGATCTTCGTTTATATCATCTATTATCAATTGGTTTTTACCTGCCTGACGTCATCACCTGCTGACATCACCTGGCTCTACTAGCTTCTTCTACCAGCCTGACGTCCAGACCACTTGTTGACATCACCTGGCTGTCCACCACACCCCCTCCATCAATATTATTTCCTACACCCTAAAGGCTCTTGTGATATTTGTGTTTACATAACAGTCGCAGCCCTAAACTCCATCTGACGAGGTAGTGGTCCTTACATCCCACCCTATGCGTTACTTCTTCAGGATTTCGTCTGTATTTTACCACTCTACAGTTTCTTCTACTGAGTATTTGTGTTCGTCTATAATGTACTCCTGATCATGCGCAATATACATGTTTTTGTTTCCCTTTTACGTAAACACATAATAAAACAGAGTAAGATAGTTTACCTTTCACACGACGTAATTAAGCAAACCTACCTGACCTAACATACGTCCCTGATCTTGCCCTTCAGTAGTTACGAGAGAGAGAGAGAGAGAGAGAGAGAGAGAGAGAGAGAGACGTATGGTATCCCTGGGAAATTACAGGTGTATCAAAGGTCACCTTTGTGTATTACAAGTTAGGAGATAAGCTCCTCTTCCTTCTCTCTCTCTCTCTCCTTCTCTCCTCTCCTCTCCTCTCTTTTCCTCTCCTTCTCTACACTCCTCTCCTCTCCTCTCTTTTCCTCTCCTTCTCTCCACTCCTCTCCTCTCCTCTCCTCTCCCTCTCCTATCCCCTCCACTCCTCCCCTCTCCTCCCCCCTCCCCTCCCCTCATCTCCTCTCCTCTCCCCGTGTCTCTTCCCCGTAACCATACACTCAGTACACCTCACGATGGGACCACGTTAACTAAGTGTTGCTCAGAAACTCATGTATATGTGAGTAAACAAGAGAATATTCTTCATGTGCATTGCCAGAGTGTCAGGAAGTGTGTGTGTAGGGTGCGGGGGTGAGGGAAGGTGAGGGGTGAGGGAAGGTGAGGGGGGTGGTGAGGGGGGTGAGGGGGTGTGAGAGGGGGTGAAGGAAGGTGAGGGTTCTGTATTTGTCTTTCATATATACGTGATGTCAAACCACTCGTCCAACAGACACTGAACAAACAACAGGAAATAAAAAAGTGGAATCCTCAACTTACTTGTTATATGGACACTAAAAATCATACTATCTCTTGAAATTCCACACACACACACACACACACACACACACACACACACACACACACGTAAACAAACATTACCTTACCTGCCATATATTCCTGAAGTCCCTCTGTTCCACCCTCAGTAGCTCACAGTTCTCTCTAGTGACGATGGTGCTTCGTCTGGGAGTGTCATTGAGCACAGACTCCCCAAATGTGGCCCCAGCACCCATCGGGCCGACCTCACCTCCCTGGAAAAAACACATAATCTCACATCAAATTCATTATCCTCGTGCGTGAGTATTATAATTATGAGTATAATGAGATATATAACTCATACGTATTATAGAAGGTTATAGGTGAGTAATATTATGGATTATATAGAGTTTTGTAGAGTTGAGTAGTATTATCCTGATTATAGGTTATATAAGATTCTGCTGCTGGTGAACTTGGACTGTTTAAACACGATTCCACTGAGTTATTATTCATCCATCTCTGCTGTACTCATCACACACCCTTCACCCATCACCCTTCACCACTCACCCATCACCACTCACCCATCACTCACCATTATCAAAGCACCACCACAGTCTTGGGATCTGAGCTGACTTAGTGTATCAATCATTGTTGTTTGATTTTAATTAAAGTGTGAATAGGTCTCTCATTTGCTAGTTAATTAAGGCTCAATTATTTTTTACCGAGAAGAGACAGACAGACAGACAGACAGACAGACAGACAGTAAATATAAAAAAGGAAAACACAAGGGGCCAAGATTGATTGGTTCTGTTTTAGAATGGCGGCCATTTTGAAATAGCTAGAATATGGCGGCTATTTTTAAGAGGATTATAACATCAAAACATAGCGGCCATTTAAAAAAAAAAACATTAAGAAAGATATTAAAAAATAAACAAAGACAAAAATGAAACTAAATTAAAAAAAAAAAAACATTAAAAATTATAAAAAATCTAAAAATCGTTAATATAAACAACCAAGAATTTTAATATTTATAGTCATGGTTAATATAGAGGTGAGATATACCATAAAATATCCCTAACCTAACCTAACCTAACTTACTAAATACTTATAAATGAACTTTCTATATTTACTGAACACTTGACACTTGCCACTTAAGACTTAACACTTATAACGTGACACTTATTACTTAACACTCAAAATTAAACACTTACATTGGGTTACTTTGGGTTAAAATCATTGGAAAGGTAAGGACAGGTACAAGTAATTATCTCTTAATTAAGTTCACCATGAACAATGAGTTACACAGGTACGGATGTTAAATTTGCATAATTTAATTTCTGAACAGGTAGGAATTTATAATTAATTACTATGGTAAGGATATATTGTAATTAAATAGCATTATAGGGGCATAGTGTAATTCATTATTAATTATAGGTATATAGTGTAATTATACCATTAATATTAACATTACTTGTCATTATAGTAGCCACTGAGCTCAATAGTTAACTACGTGCTATTTTTAATTATAGACGTGTTTATAGAAGGATTAGTCTATATAATTAGAAGAATCATATAGGCAGTTTATTAGTAATTAGACGAAAATATATAGAAATTAAACATGTATTCAGATAGGGTAATTACTGTATCATAGACAGATAGTAAAAATAATTAAACAAATACCTGCGTTAATTAGACAGGTATATAACTTAGACAGGTGTTTTGAGTAGACATAGACATACGTAGACAAGTAGATACGTCCCTCTAACACTCACCCTTGCACAGGTGTACTTCAAGGAGCTACGTAGTATTTCACACCACCCACGCCTCGCCACCCCACGCTACGCCAAGCACGCCAAACCCCACGCTACCCATGCCACGCCACCCCACGCCTCGCCACCCACGACACGCCACCCACGCCTCGCCACGCCCGCCACCCCACGCCACGCCACCCCACGCCACCCATGCCACCCACGCCACCCCACGCCACGCCACCCCACGCCTCGCCACCCACGACACGCCATTCCATGCTCTTATTGAACCCCGTGGCCTTCATCTCCGTACCTGACAACACCAAGGGCCTGAGACGAGATCCTTGGTGTTGGAGAAGTCAGGAAATATTGTACAGTCTGAACCATCCTCTCTCGTAACCATTTTATTTTGTCTGTTTGTCCCTCTCTTTATCTTCGTCTCTATCACGTGCTAGGAGTCTCTCTGTTTCTGTCTGTCTGTCTGTCTGTCTGTCTGTCTGTCGCTCTAGTGCCTTTCAGAAAATAAATAAATTCTTGAAGTTGACCTTTGACTTTTAAAACTTCCCAGAGCTCCGTAATTTTGCCTTTCGTACCTTATCATTAGACAGACAGACAGACAGACAGACAGACAGACAGACAGACGCAAAACTAGGTAGGAGAACTCGGTAGGTAATGGAAGAGAAATACAAAAATTTCCATATTTTTTTTGTTTTTTGGGGGGGAAAGAATGTCTACCCCTCCTGACCCTCCCTCACCCTCACCCCCTCCCCACCTCTCACCCTGTTCGATACACACACGAAAATAGTAAAATAATTTTTTTTTGTATTTTGTATGTGTGTCATCCACCTGTGTCATGTAGTGTGTCATCCACCTGTGTCATGTAGTGTGTCATCCACCTGTGTCATGTAGTGTGTGTCATCCACCTGTGTCATGTGGTGTGTCATCCACCTGTGTCATGTAGTGTGTCATCCACCTGTGTCATGTAGTGTCATCCACCTGTCTCATGTGGTGTGTCATCCACCTGTACATCTTTAGTGTCATCATGTGGTGTGTCATCCACCTGTGTCATGTAGTGTGTCATCCACCTGGTGTCAAGTGTGTCATCCACCTGTGTCATGTAGTGTGTCATCCACCTGTGTCATGTGGTGTGTGTCATCCACCTGTGTCATGTGTCATCCACCTGTGTCATGTAGTGTGTCATCATGTAGTGTGTCATCCACCTGTGTCATGTGGTGTGTCATCCACCTGTGTCATGTAGTGTGTCACCCACCTGTCTCATGTGTGTGTCATCCACCTGTGTCATGTAGTGTGTCATCCAGCCTGTGTCACCTGTGTCATGTAGTGTGTCATCCACCTGTGTCATGTAGTGTGTAGTGTGTCATGGTGTGTCCACCTGTCTCATGTAGTGTGTCATCCACCTGTCTCATGTAGTGTCATCCACCTGTCTCATGTAGTGTGTCATCCACCTGTCTCATGTAGTGTGTCATCCACCTGTGTCATGTAGTGTGTCACCCACCTGTCTCATGATGTCATCCACCTGTGTCATGTAGTGTGTCATCCACCTGTGTCATGTGGTGTGTCACCACCTGTCTCATGTGATGTGTCATCCACCTGTGTCACGTAGTGTGTCATCCACCTGTGTCATGTAGTGTGTCATCCACCTGTCATGTAGTGTGTCATCCACCTGTCTCATGTAGTGTGTCATCCACCTGTCTCATGTAGTGTGTCATCAACCTGTCTCATGTAGTGTGTCACCCACCTGTCTCATGTGGTGTGTCATCCACCTGTGTCATGTAGTGTGTCATCCACTCCAGGTTAAGTGTAGTGTGTCACCCCACCTGTCTCATGTAGTGTGTCATCCACCTGTGTCATGTGGTGTGTCATCCACCTGTCTCATGTGGTGTGTCATCCACCTGTGTCATGTAGTGTGTCATCCACCTGTCTCATGTGTGTGTGTCATCCACCTGTGTCATGTGGTGTGTCATCCACCTGTGTCATGTGGTGTGTCATCCACCTGTCTCATGTAGTGTGTCACCCACCTGTCTCATGTGGTGTGTCATCCACCTGTCTCATGTGATGTGTCATCCACCTGTGTCATGTAGTGTGTCATCCACCTGTGTCATGTAGTGTGTCATCCACCTGTCCTTCATGTAGTGTGTCATCCACCTGTCTCATGTAGTGTGTCATCCACCTGTCTCATGTATGCTTCATCCACTATATATAAATGTGTCATCCACCTGTCTCATGTGGTGTGTCACCCCTGTCTCATGTGGTGTGTCATCCACCTGTGTCATGTAGTGTGTCACCCACCTGTCTCATGTAGTGTGTCATCCACCTGTGTCATGTAGTGTGTCACCCACCTGTCTCATGTAGTGTGTCATCCACCTGTGTCATGTAGTGTGTCACCCACCTGTACAAGTGGTGTGTCATCCACCTGTGTCATGTAGTGTGTCATCCACCTGTGTCATGTAGTGTGTCATCCACCTGTGTCGCGTGGTGTGTCATCCACCTGTGTCATGTAGTGTCATCCACCTGTGTCATGTGTGGTGTCATCCACCTGTCTCATGTAGTGTGTCATCCACCTGTCCATGTAAGTGTGTCACCCACCTGTGTCATGTGGTGTGTCATCCACTGTCATGTCATCCACCTGTGTCATGTGGTGTGTCATCCACCTGTGTCATGTAGTGTGTCATCCACCTGTGTCATGTAGTGTGTCATCCACCTGTGTCATGTGGTGTGTCATCCACCTGTGTCATGTAGTGTGTCATCCACCTGTGTCATGTGGTGTGTCATCCACCTGTCCGCTCGTTACTTCCTGGTTGTGTTGAAATAAAAATACCCGATACTTTAAATTATTCATATGACATTACCCTGTCCTAAGGTCTCGCGCGCGCGCGCGTGTGTGTATGTGTGTATGTGTGTGTGTGTGTGTGTGTGTATACGTGTGTGTGTGTGTGTATTATACCCTGCAGGTGTACAATTTTTGGACACAAGTTTCTCACCTGACTCGTCTCTCCAACCTGTTCCCATCAAGTTAGGTCTTCACGGTACAAATTCCCGTCGTATAATATCTTCCACGAATTAACTAATCCCAAAGACCTTTTGTGCCTTTGGAGCTTACGAGAGGTCAAGACTGGTGTGATTTAGCTTTCATGAGTATCAGTTTAGTAGCCGCTAAGGAATGAGAAGAAGAGTGAAACAAATGAGCATCGACTCAACGAATACTATAAGGTAAACAATAATTTTTAGCTCCGTTTATTCAGCCCAGTTTCCCTTTTATGCTGACATTGTGTATTTTGTTCGTGTGAGTTTTTATTATTATTATTATTGTTGTTGTTGTTGTTTTTGGTGGTGGTGTTGTTATTGTTGTTGTTGTTGTTGTAACACGAGATTGTATTTACACAAAGCTGTACTGATGAGAGATAATTTTTCATTGTTGTTGTGAGAGCAAATGGACAAATTTCTGAGCTCATCAGTTTTGTAACTTACCCTCGGTTGCTTCAGGTTGCAGCAGTCAGCCCATTATTCGTAAATCCATCTAAATCAACCCAAATCAACAGTAATCCAGGAATTCTTTTGTGAAAATCATTATATTCGGTTACATCATTTGTTTGGACGTCATATTATAAACGTAACCAACACGTGGGCCACAAAATCACTTGACGTGTCTCCATGCCTTGGGTTGGTATGGTAGTGCCCCGGGATGGAACCAGAGACCCGTAGGACAGTAGGCGAGCGGAGTATACATTCGACCACTCTCACTCCTGGTAGAAATATTCAACTTTCCTTAATCAAAATGAGAGGTGGATCCATTCAGCTATCATCTAGGTGTTGACTCTCAAACTCTTACGAGTCTTCTCTCTTTACCTCACTACTGAACTACGACGCTCTGTATGTACACACAGTGCATCCCAGAGTACACAAACCCAGGTATTTACAGGTGTGTGAAGAAAATTCAGTGTTTCTAGGGATAAATACAAAAAAAAACAGGTCTTTCCTCATTACCCTCCACTCACTGATCTACCAGCACCAATAATAAACGACTAATTACTTCTTTTAAGAGGCCACGGTGCCGCCACTATACTACAGCTCCTAGTGTATAAGATAAACAGTGACTTAATGACGGTTTTCCAATATCTGGCGGAAAACAAAGGCTTACCAACACACTAGGGTACGTCTGGGGCAACACTGATGAGGTATTATGAAACATAGTCTTATATACTCTGAAGGTCGTGTGTGCTTGTTGTGAGAAGCGATATACACATACGCATATATACATAAACGTACATATACGCATACACGTGAACATACGCACATACATATAAAAACAAACACATTCTCTCTCTCTCTCTCTCCCACTCTCTCTCTCCCCTCCTCTCTCCCTAATTCCCATATGTCTTGTTGAAATTCTCTAATAGGTGTCGACCCTCACCCCCACATGGTATACAGGGAGACATATTGATTTACCTTCCCTTTTTCCTCCCTCCTCCGTACCCCCCCCACCACCCAAAACAAAGTCACAAAATACTATAAAATTCTTAATATTTTTTCCTCATTTATTTCATTAGATTTTCAAGCTGTATTATATATTATTTTAAGACCTTTATATATATTTTTATACTTTAATATTTTGAGTAATTTATAAACTTTCAAGATGGAGAAAAAATAATAACTTCGCTACGTATTTTGAAAGATGTTAAAGCTATATAGGCAAAGTATATCAAAGTATATCTCATAAACACGTTAATATTATATAATTTTAACACAAATTAAGCAAAAATAACAACAAACACATTAGAATTTTGTTTTGTTTTAATATTTTGGGGTTAAATTTAGTCAAGAAAAGTTGTAATAGTTTTTCCAGTTCCGTTCTGTTTCGTTTGGTTTAGTTCGGTTTATATTTGTTTGGGTTTAGGTTAGGTTTTTTGGTTAGGTTAGGTTTTAATAATACACATATTGGATTCCATTTGCCGCCAGAGTCCGCTTTGTGATATCACGCATTGGAGAGAGAGACAGAGAGGGGGTGGAGGAGGAAAGGGAAGGATGAAGGAGGGAAGGAGGATGAAGGAGAAGGAGGATGAAGGAGGAAGGGAGGATGAAGGAAGGGAGATGAAGGAGGGATGAAGGAGGGAAGGAGGATGAAGGAGGGAAGGGAGGATGAAGGAGGGAAGGGAGGATGAAGGAGGGAAGGGAGGATGAAGGAGGGAAGGGAGGATGAAGGAGGGAAGGGCGGATGAAGGAGGGAAGGGAGGATGGAGGAGAGAAGGGCGGGAATCATATGTTCTTATGTCCAAGTCTCTCCCTTGGGTGTGAGGGGTAAGGGAGGAAGGGAGGAAGGGAGGGAGGGAGGGATATTGAAACCATAGTCAGAATTTCTAATTAATCAACTCGTTAATCCGTATCATATCTTAATCCTAATTAATCCCAAGTATCAATGGAAAATATAATTGTCACTATGGCAGGAAAAAAGTTGAAATCCAATGAGGAGTTTATTTCCTCAATTGGCAACATTTCTTTAAAGTAACTGAAAAACAAGACACAAATCATGACTAAGTGGACATATAAAATCATGCAACATCATGCAAAGTGCAAAACAATGTGTATATTAGGTAATAGAAGTTCTTTATGGTAGTATTTATTCGTAAAATTATAAATAACAAAAATATAAATATATAAATTTGAAAATCTTATGGCCGTGGTGATATTGCATGTTGATGTGACCTTCTGACGAGATATTTATTATTAGTGAAGAGAAATGTTTCCTCGGGGACATTTGAAATCCACCACAAATTTAATAGTTTCCAGATATTGTGAGACGACCAAACTAAGTCTTCAAATAGACGATAGAAATAGTATATCAGTCAGGTGTATCAAGTTGGTGATGTGTACGTCAGGTATATACAGGTATACGATAGTTTGGAGGTGTTCTGGATAATGTCGTCTTATTATGGAGCTCTGTACGAGTCAAGTGAGTCTGGCAACATGCAAAACGTGGCGTGTGTCAGCTGTGCGGTAGGGGGGAGCAGCGTCAGGAGTTGGAGTCAGCAAATGCACGGGAGGTGAGGGGGGGAAGGAAGAAGGAGGAGGGGGTGAGGGGGGGGAGGAGGAGGAGGGGTGAGGGGGGAGGAGGAGGAGGGGGGGGAGGGAGAGGGGGGGAGGCGCTTCAAGGCTTATTATTAGCAGAAACACGGGGTGGGGGGGGGCAGTAGGAGGAGAGGAGGGGGTGAGGGGTGCTTCAAGGCTTGGGGGATCAACATATGCTCTGGGGAAAGAGGAGGAAGGAGAGAAGGAGGAGGACCCGGAGTAGGAGGAAGAGGAGGAAGGAGAGAAGGAGGAGGACCCGGAGTAGGAGGAAGAGGAGGAAGGAGAGAAGGAGGAGGACCCGGAGTAGGAGGAAGAGGAGGAAGGAGAGAAGGAGGAGGAACCGGAGTAGAAGGAAGAGGAGGAAGAGGAGGATGCGTCAAAGCTCATAGTTAGCAGATACACGGAGAGAGTATAGAAAGAGGAGGAGAAGGAAGGAGAAGAAGAAAAAGAAGGAGGAGGAAGAAGATGAAAAAAGGAGATAAGTAAGAGGAGGAGCAGGATGAAAAAGAAGAGTAAGCAGAAGAAGAAGAAGAGGAGGAGAAGAAGGAAGAGGGAGAGACAGCCGTATCTTGCATTGAGGACTGTTAGCATATGCACGGTCAGGACTTGTGTGACTTACCACTTTGGACGTTAGTGTTTCAAGACAAGACCAGGAACTTGACTGTCTGCTGGGCTGCTGGGGACGGGAATTAAAACAACATCTATAAGACAATGTTAAATAGGGATTAAGACAATGTTAAATAGACGTTATGACAATGTTAAATATAGGTTTTCTTTACCCCATGAATCAATGTCATTATCATAAGCATCATTAATTTCTTTATTTAATTATTCATCTATAATTAAAAGAGGAATATTATTAAATTAACTGATAAAGATTGAATTAATTGAGTTACGTTTTGTGGTTGATAGAATTTATGGTCAATAAATATGGGTATTACTGTATCGTCCTGTTCATTACTGTTTTATTACATTGGGCTTCTGTACCAACGCATATATTAGCTGTAACGCACTCGGTAACAAGGACATATAATAGCTGTAACGCACTCGGTAACAAGGACATATTATAGCTGTAACGCACTCGGTAACAAGGACATATAATAGCTGTAACGCACTATGTAACACGGATACATACTCACTGTAACGCACTCTGTAATAAGGACACATACTAGCTGTAACGCACTCTGTAATGTGAATATACATGAGAGGGAGAGAGAGGAAGGAGGGAGGAGGGAGGGAGAGAGAGAGGAGAGACAGTGGGTGGGGAGGAGAGAGAGGGAAGGAGGGAGGGAGGGAGGGAGGGAGGGAGAGGGAGAGAGAGAGAGAGAGAGAGAGAGAGAATCATAAAAGATTAGAAGGGAGTGGGAGAGAAAGAGAGAGAAAATACCCTTAATTACCTAAAATATCCCACTACCTAAAATAATCCTCTTGACCTAAAATATCTTCCTCAATAAAAATTTAAAACAAAATCCCTTATTAAATGTTATCTACTAATTAAAAAGGGATAACTTATTTATAACGATAACAAAAGTCGAGAAGAATTTACACTTTGTAGTTACATAATTACCTGGATTTTACCTGAATTCATTAAGCCACTCTAATTAGTCTCTGAGATTCTTAACGATGTCATTTGAGGGTAATTGAAATTTTAATTGAGGAGGAAATGTTTTTAATACTCATTATAGGTGGTTAAAAAAGTGGTTGGTTAATGTCGTGTCAAGGCTTTTGAGTTGTGGTTAATGAGTTTCTAGTTGTGGTTAATGAGCTTCTAGTTGTGGTTAATGAGTTTCTAGTTGTGGTTAATGAGCTTCTAGTTGTGGTTAATGAGTTTCTAGTTGTGGTTAATGAGCTTCTAGTTGTTGTTAATGAGCTTCTAGTTGTGGTTAATGAGCTTCTAGTTATGGTTAATGAGCTTCTAGTTGTGGTTAATGAGCTTCCAGTTGTGGTTAATGAGCTTCTAGTTGTGGTTAATGAGCTTCTAGTTATGGTTAATGAGCTTCTAGTTGTGGTTAATGAGCTTCTAGTAGTGGTTAATGAGTTAAGGTTCTTTTAATATGTGATTCTAAAGTAGTTCTGTTATCTGTGAGGTTCTTTCACACGACTCAATGCTTCTTTCACACGACTCAATGCTTCTTTCACACGACTCAATGCTTCTTTCACACGACTCAATGCTTCTTTCACACGACTCAATGCTTCTTTCACACGACTCAATGCTTCTTTCACACGACTCAATGCTTCTTTCACACGACTCAATGCTTCTTTCATTATGACTTAACACTTCTTTCATTACTATCAAACACCTGTTGCTCTTCCTCCCTTACTCCCCTCCTCCCCTTCTCCCCATCCTCCCCCCACCTCTCCCCTCCCCATCCTTCTCCTCCCCTCCCCATACTAGATAAAATACATATCAATCTTCACCCAAAAAAACCTAACCTAACCAAGCTCCAATTTTCCTCCCCCCCCCTCTACCTTCCCTAGATTCGCTCAGTTTACCATAAGAAAGAAAACGGGAACCTGTAAAAGCTGCCATTGAAAACCAAGATTGTAGCATGAATATTTTACTCACTGAGATTAGGCTCACGTGTGTGTAACTTATATGTGGGTGGAGATCAAGGACTGTGACTACTTAGAGTTTGTGTTTGGTTAGGTTAGGTTAGGTTAGGGACGACTCAGAGTGTGTGTTTGAGTTTGCTTATATTTTTATGGGAGAGTTAATTTGTAGAATTTTTTTCCTCCCGGGATTAAGGTAAGATTTTTTTTTTTTACGCATCCCTGACGTGTGTGTGTGTGTGTGTGTGTGTGGGTGTGTGTGTGTGTGTGTGTGTGTGTGTGTGTGTGTGTGTCTGTGTGTGTGTTAGTTGATCTCTTGTTATTGTAATGTAAACAAATAAGTGATTCAGCTTAACGAAATACACTTACCAGACACACACTTAGAATACACTTACCAGAAACACACTTAGAATACACTTACCAGAAACACACTTAACAATATATAACTACTAAGATCATAATAAAAGTCAATGCAGAAATAATCCTTTAAATGGAGGTTTTATATATAACGGACCTTTGATATAACGGACTTCCTCTCCATATAATCCGTTAAATAAAGGTTTCACTAAGTGCTTTCTATTTCCACTAAGTTCAAAGACTAATTAAAGTTCTAGTACTATTAATCACCAGGTGTATCTAACCTTAATTGGCTCTAATTATAACAGGTAAATTAGCTTCAGTATAAGCCGATTAATTATGGGATCTAATTAACCTGGATCACCTACACCTTTCATACCTGGTAGATGATATAACCAAAATAATGTAGTGAAGTTATTGTATGGTAAGGTATTATAGCCAAAGAGAGAGAGAGAAAGAGAGAGAGAGAGAGAGAGAGAGAGAGAGAGAGAGAGAGAGAGAGAGAGAGAGAGAGAGAGAATAGCCCAAGCAACAAAATAACACTAAATTTTCCCTCAATTGGTAACATAAATCAATATGTCAGCCCCTTACCTTTCCTTACCTGGGGCCGTGACTCACCTGTCGGGCCTGAAAGAAGAAAAAGAAGAAGGAAAATGAAGGAAGTGTAAAGGTTAAGAGAGACTCCAGAATGAAAGAAGTATGTGTGTGTGTGTATGTCTATCGGTACAGGATGAAGGAAGTGTTGTTTACCAGTGAAAAATAAATGAAAGAAAAGAAAGAAATTTGGGTACGAATTAAACTGGAATGAAATAAATTAACTAGCAACCTCACCATGATGAAAGAATTCTATCCAAGAGTCAAGCTGCGATGAAAGAAATCCTACGAGTCAAGCCACAATGAAAGAAATCCTACCTACGATTCAAGCCACGAAGAAAGAAATCCTACCTACGAGTCAAGCCGCGATGAAAGAAATCCTACGAGTCAATCCAGGATGAAAGAAGCTTACCTACGATTCAAGCCACGATGAAAGAAATCCACCGGCTTGGATCTATCACCAGTATGTTTTCTGTACGAGTTTATTCAATATAAGACCCCACCTTATCCTCTAGTGACCCGCCTGATATTTTTACTTCTTTCAATGGGGGAGAGGATGGGGAGGTGGCGTGACATGGGGAGATGGGGAGGGAAAGGAGTGGGGGTTGGAGAGGGCGGGGAATGGGAATTTGATAGGTGCAGGGAGATGGTAAGAAATTGGGGTGGGCAAAGAATGTGGGGAGATGGGGAGGGAGTGTGGTGAGGGTGGGGAGTGGAGGAGAGAGTATAGGGTGATAGTGGGGAGATAAGAAGAGAGTATAGGGTGATAGTGGGGAGATAAGGAGAGAGTATAGGGTGATAGTGGGGAGTGGAGGAGAGAGTATTGGGTGATAGTGGGGAGATAAGGAGAGAGTATAGGGTGATAGTGGGGAGATATGAGGAAAAATGTAAGATTGGATAGACAATCGATCCAGCTGGATTCTTAACAGCTCCCTGTGTATTCCTTGCCACCCTGCCTCCCTGCCACCTTGCTACCCTTCTTCCCTGTATGCCACCCTGCTTCCCTGCCACCCTACGACCCTGCTTCCCTACCACCCTGGCTCCCTGCCACCCTGCTACCCTTCCTCCCTGTATGCCACCCTGCTTCCCTGCCACCCTACCACCCTGCCTCCCTACCACCCTGCCTCCCTACCACCCTGCCACCCTGTCGACACATCCCCTTCAACTTGGTCCCAAAGAGAAGGACCAGCTCTCAAGGTTGGGCCGGACTCATTCCATCGCCACTCAGCTGCAGTCTTAAGCCTCGTGTTCTCCATTTCGTTCTCTTCTTCTCCTCTCTTCCTCTTAGGCTTCTCTTCCACCTCAGTAAGTGTTGTGGTCAAAAGAGGAATTACTGAAGTTGTCTTGATGTAAAAGATTAGTGGCAGGTTACGTCATTTGTATATATTAGCCGTGGTTCTCAACACCTGGTGAATTTTAATACGTTGGGGCAACAGGTGTTATCCGCACACATTGTTTCAGGAAGGTAATTTTCGCTGTAATCTTGAAATCCTTGCTAAGCTTAAAGAACTTCTGTAACCTTTCAATGCTAAACACTTGTGGGTACAGCTATCACCAGTATTAATGGCGGAGTGGTTCATGCCCAGCTGTGAAAGGGTACATGACTTTTTCAGTTGAGGAAGTGAATGAGGCAGAGTTTAGTGTCTGCCTCACTGCCTTATGTATCAAAGGTTTTCTATTCTGTTTCTCATATCCTCACGCCAACATGGGACCAACTTTTACTTGTCTCCTCCTTGTACAATAATGTGTTCCCAGACTTAGATATTTACCAGGTTATTTAAATTTAGTAGGTGAAGGTCTTTTCTGTCATCCCGAGTAACCTCCTTCTCTTGGCCTCCAGGGGGTCGTGGAGGTTATCTCGTCTTCCCTCATTTACTCTGGATTCCTCGCGAGATCCCAGACCATTCTCAATCTAATAAGCTTCCAGTTAGGGTTATGGTTTATCCGTATGGTTTAATTTAGGGTAAAATTATCTCGTAGACAGAAAGACAGAATTAGTGTCGGGTCTCTCAGTTTGTTGGTCAGGTCTTACTCTAGTGTAGGGTCTCTCAGCTTGTTGGTCAGGTCTTACTCTAGTGTCGGGTCTCTCAGCTTGTTGGTCAGGTCTTACTCTAGTGTCAGGTCTCTCAGTTTGTTGGTCAGGTCTTACTCTAGTGTCGGGGTCTCTCAGCTTGT